CTGGAATCTGAGAAGATCTTCTATATCCAGCCTCTGAGTATTAAGGATTAGTTTATGAACAAACACGGGATAGCTACATGTCGTTTTGGATCATAGGTAGATAATCGAACACCAGTGCTCGCGAAGAAGAGGATGCTGCAGTAAATTAGGTGTTTGATGGGGATAGATCTTTGAACTTTTTGACAGGGTGCAAGGAGTCAATGTGTTTCTTGATCTTCAATCTGGTGCCTTTGGGAACCTTTGCTTTTGTTTTCCCAGTTGACCCCGCCCTGGGGCATCCACTTTTCAGCCATGAGCAGGTCATGTAGGCATGGGGACTGTGGGCACCGTCGTCAGATGAGCAATCACCAGCGGTTTGAGCACTAGCAACCTAGAACTCGGGTCTATCATGCCCAGTAATGGAATGGCGCCGAATACGGGGTATTGTCATCAGGGTGATGTTGTATTTTTCTGCAGCTGCATGATCAATTGTTTTCCATAGTTGCTTTTTGCGAATGATGCGTTTGCTTATGTCGAGGTATGTCTCTTCTGGAATGTCAGCGTTGGCCATGTGTGTGCGCGGTCGAAATGTGCCATGGCGGCAAAGTGGAGTCAGAGGCTAAATGATCAAGTCTGGTTTGGGGTCTAGGATTGCATGCATTTTGGACGGTACAGGAAACTGTCACGAACATGGACCTTCCACAGATGGCCAGGTCTATATTCCTTTGGTGCAGGTGTGGGCTGCCAGCAGCACTCAAGGAGCGGCTGGTCGGTGGTGGTGGTGGCGGTGGTGGTTGCGGTCGTGATCGTGGTTGCATTGCTGTTACTAATTATATGTATATATATAACATATTACTATAGCATAAATTGTATAGCATTCCTTTTCGCCAACCCATAGATTTGAAGCCGAACAACAGTTCACAGAGTTCACGTTTCTTTAAGTCCAGAAGTCAGAATGCCTCAGGAATTGAGATTCCTGGCGTGTTTATGATGATCGAGAAACCGTGCCCCCCACATGGGTAATGACATGGCGTGCCCAAAAAGGAGGCCAACTCTGGGGATCCTTTGGTGTGTAGCTCAATTAGGGTTACACACACACACGAGAACCCCTCTCAAAAGTTGAACGCAACACGAACCGAAGACACAAGAGCATTAAGAACATTCATCAGATGATATGCAAAAACAGAATCGACATGAAGGCTGCAAACTGCAAACAAGTATTAGTGCTTCACCCTACACCATGCAACATGTATTGAAAATAGGGGCTGGCTAAGAATAATGTTTTGAAGTTGCGCACTGAATAAGAGACTTCGGCACCAAATCATTCCCGAGCAAGAAGGACTTCTGGGCAGTCCCATTCGCATTCCAGGAAGTAGCTTGCGGAGTCCCGCCATGCATTTCACGGGAACGAAGAGCGAGGTCATGCCAACCATCCTCTGCAGCATTGGCCAGTGAGGCACTCATCAATTCCAACATTGAAATCACCCATGATCAACGCCGGGCCCTTGAAATCTGGATGCAACCAGCATGATTTCATTCAGTAGGCCCCAAGGGTTTTTCACACGAACGATGCTTAGTGGGCCCATACAGGCACCGCCACATAAAAATCCAGGCCAAAAGCACAAAGAACAAACTCCATCACAAGCGAGTGTATGCTCCAACCGCATCAGGCAAGGGTTGAGGATAGGGGCCACGAATGGCCACGAGAAATACAAAGCTGACACCCCAGTACGACCATGAAGACCCCCATTCGAACCAAGATATTACAGGGTCACTGGCCCTGAAGAACATCCCATTTTCTTGCAACCGCCACGAAGGCTGCAAAGGGCTTCCGCCGAAGCCGAAGTCTCACTAGCTCCTTTAGTTGATTTTCCTCTTCTGCGGTCTCCAATGGGGGATGCCGGGATAGAAAAATCATTACAATAACTGTTGTTCCGATTTTGTTCGCGAAATCCTTTCCTATGGGTTATGCCCAGATGACAATGTATACCAAACCAATAGATTCAGTCATGATTCACGGCACCATGCTTGGTGCTTTGTGAACTTTCAGGAATTACGGGTTGTTCAGGAGGATGTTTCGGGGGAGTATAACTGCGTGTACCGGGGGAAAAGTGTCCCACAACTAGTGGAGGGCACCAAGTTCTGGTAGGATGTCAAGCGCTGGCCCAGCATCTCAGCATGCTTGGATTGGTCCCCAGGATTTCTCCTCTCCTTACTTCTCCACGCTCAGTGACTTGGCCAGGAATGCAATGGCTCGCAGCCACCTGTCGGAAGGCCCGCTTTGGCGACAGTGAGCACGCGTCTTGGCCGAAACGCGGCAGTTTGGTCGCAAGTGTTCTGGTGTCAGTTTACATCCTTTGGGAATGGAACAACACATATCAACACACAAAGAACCACGCATTCTGCACAGGGTATTGTGGGAGCCTATCCTTTCATCCCCTACTCATTTGCGAGAAAGACGTGATTGGAGTGGAGAAAGAAAGAAGGATCTCGATGTGGATAGAGAGAAGGATGCCAAGATGTTAAATGATGATGTGCCAAGAGATGCCAGCACCAAGCCTTTTGGTCTGAAGAGTACTTGCAGTGTACTGTAGGAACAAAAAATAGAATAGACAAGTCTGTGGAAGACACAAAGCGCAAATCACGGCGGGGACGACCATCAAGAACCTAACGGTTGGTTCATTTTCCAACAGCTCTATGATCACGTTTGCTCCTTGATCAGTGCGACACACGGACCTTGAGGATATGGGTTTGGAAGACAATCGGACGAGCAACACGATCATTCTGGAGCAGATTCCACAGGCGCAGATGATTCTGAGGTGTTGTAGCAGGCGCAGTGATGGAGCGAGATTTATCACCATCCTTGAGGTGTTTTATACCACCCCAAACAGAACGTAAGCTTGCAACTGCTAGTTGCTCATGCGTTGGCACTCCTCTTCCTAAGAGTATTGCTCTGAAAAAGACTGTTTTGTTTGGGGGTCAACCCAACGGAATTTCCACCTTTCCAGACCTTCCTCTGTCCAGATGCTACTGCAAGCAACCTACTTCCGCTTCGTTTTAGTGGAGATGAGTCTGCAAGCACCTGGGCACCAGATGGCAGCTTTCGTGTGGAAGTGCTTCTCTCTCCTTGTCGTAGTCTTTGTCGCCAACCCAATTGGCCACAGCTCTTCACGCTCTCAGAAGTCTCAGGCCAGACTGAAACAGTGGCTCTCCGTGGGCATATCCATTGCCGTACTGCTGGCGAAGACCCGGAAGTGGCGCAAATTCGCTGCTGGGTGTCACGACCAGGTCAACTGGGGTAAAAACTGCAGAGGATGGGGAGAGAGCAGATGTCCGAATGTAAATGGTTTCCTTCCAAGTCCTTCAATATGAGCAAAGAATATGAAATTGTAGTCCGGTATTTATAGAGTGGAACTAGACATTGGATAATGCAGGTTCAAGGAATGGAACACTAAGCTTTGTTGAGCAAAATCCTGCACCACCAAGTTTGTTCAAGCACCTTGGAGGTCGCCCCTTTTTGAAAAAACTCCTTTCTGGGCCTGCGAAGGAGGTGTGCACCGGCCGGTGGATTCCTTGTATGACCATGCTCCATGAATGAGGCACACGACTTCTGACAAAACAAAATCCTACTTCTCCCTCACCTCAGAACCTGGACAACCCCACATCATGCTAAAAGGAATATGCACGAGTCCTTCGGGGTGAACATGGGGACATAATTCCTCTCTGAAGAGGCTCGGTTCCTCTCCAACATCGTCAGACTGTTCCCAGGCTGTTCCCGCTCGGCTGGGCTCCTTGCTGGTGGTGCTGCTGATGTTCCCGGCAGAGATGGAGGAGTGGTCATAGAAAGTGAAAGATGAGCAAACACCAAGAGTCCAGTCTGCCTATCACCCAAACGGTTTTGCTCCCACCGCCCACAGTTCGAATTGCATCCTTTAAGAGAACGCGGATTTTCAGGAAAAACCAGGTGTTTCCAGACCAGGCCCTCCCGAACAATGGCTTGGGTGCGCTTGGGTGTTAAGTTGACTAACTCCTTCATACTCCTTCTACAGGCACAAGAACCCTGAGAATAGCAACAGTAAAAGCTGCATGTCTTCAGACGATTCAACTTAGTCTTGACGTGTAGACCCTAAGGTTCGGCTTGGACACTCTCAGGAGGTGCAAAGGCATAAAGCACACAGTTCAAGGCCACTCAATTCTGTTCCTTAGGGGTATTCACGAAAGGACACAAGATTTTGACCCACGGCCAAATAGTCAACTTAGTATGACTCACTCATAGTGCTTCTTTCGCATCGCAGGACTCTGTGCTGACATGGCACTGGGTTTGATCACTTCCACTGGTGAGTCAGTCCAAGGGGATGGATCATGAAGTGAATCTGTAGGAACCAACTCAACGTTGGTGAAGAAACCAAGCCAATTTGGGTTTGAATTTAGATACTGTAGATTAAATCGAAGCACCCAAAGACGGTGATAGATGAACATCCCCCGCTGTACATACATACTGTTGGCCATTTTGCTTGCTCCTGGCCAAGTCAGAGCTCAGCGTATGGCCAAGTCGCGACAAAGAAAGGGCACTTTGTGCTCATAGCTCTGCAGCACAGAGAGCTAGAGCAGCTAAAGTGCTTCCAGTTCGTTGGTTGGGATATGCTGGGATGATGGATCAAACGCTCAGATCGGTGAGGGTACCATATCTCATGGCGACCAACCATTGGCAGGTGCTGGATAGAGGGTTCACTGTGTGACAAATATTCCATGTGTAGAGTGGGTGGTGAAAAAAACAATTAAAAACAGAGCAAGAGGTCGCCAGTGAGTGGCGAGGGGAGTTGCTGTTTGTCCGAGTTTGCGGTATATTTTTCCTGTTGGGGTATTCCCCGACGCCGGTTCATGCAGTTTATATAGGCAGACTTCCTGTTTGAGGCTGCTACCACCTTCATTTTGGAAATGCCAAACCGACGCCCTCATACCCACAGCCAGCCCAAAGCAATCAGACCATGTCACCAGCACCAGTTTGCTTTCCCGCTCAGGCGATGAACATATCCAGAAAGTTTTGCAGGCTTCAGGACGTCAAGGTGCTGAGCAACAGATGTCACCTGGCCAAGCTAGTCCCTCCAGGTGTTTCTTAAACTTATGTTCGAAGACAATTGGGCAAGGAGGTCTCAGAGAAGCCTGCATGCACCAGGTCTTTGTTGCGCCATCCACTGTTGGATGTTGTTTGGGTCTTTTTCGGGTATGGTTGGAGCAGGTCCCGCTAGACTCACTAGACCACCTCTATATATATAATCTTGGGCACATTATGGAAATTGTACGCGAACCTTTGGGTGCTTTATATACACTTCCGGGAGTGCTTGAGGTTCCATTTGAATGGCTTCGGTGAACTTCGGTGGTGAAAGATTACCAAAGCAAGTCGTACCCTTTGACTCGATTATATATCCATTGGAGTTTAACTAGCAGCAGGGGGAAGAATATGTTCTCACAAACCAGTGGTTTTCCACTTGATTGAGTGAGACAATGGTGGAGCCACTTCCAGGGTCCACCTTCAGAGTCCAGTTTTGGGAACTGAGGGTTTGGGCCAAGGGTTGCAGGCTTGACGGGGGCGGCATAGCGGAAGGACGGATAAACTGTGCAAGAGTTGGTATACCAGATGTGCACCGGCTTGTCTTACTGTATAGTATGATTCGGAAAGCAGCAATCCTTAGATTTGAACCACTTCTTGATACACCCACCCAGTTCGCCCGATTACCATACGTAGCAGTGTATTTGCGGCTCATTGCGGCCGCACTCGCACCACCGGCATGAGGCTCTATGATGTGCTGTGGCGACCAACTGAACTTCAGAGTAAGGCTGGGATGATTCAAAAACTTGGATTTGCAGTTGGCAGAGGAACAAGTCTCATCCATACCACAGAAAGTATTGTATTGTTCCTTGTGAACAGCATAGCCTTTGGGCTCTAGACCTCATAGGGGGATTGGGGTTCCCTCCCCCGAAATAGGATTAAAACTGTCAGACCAAGCTAACTTTGGCAAGCCAGCCATGTATGTTTACTGACGTTTACTGTACATATGTTTGCGTTTATTTGCAATCAGTGCCTTGCATAACACTCAGGGCGCGGCCCAAGCGCTGGTCTTGGGCAGCAGCAGCGCCCTGCAGAAGTTAAACGCTGAAGGCGTCCGCTGTGAGGAGCTTCCGATGGAGGAGCAGGCAGAGCTTGAGCAAAGGTGTGGGGGGGAATGGAGTGAAACATTGTCAGATGAACAATCCACCATTTGTAAGGAGAATCGATGAGAAGTTGATGAGGGTCGTCTTCCAACCCTCAACCCTCAACCCGCCGGGCAGGATCCTGTTGTTAGCCTTGGATTGTTAGCCCTGGCTTTTAGAGCTTCTGGGAGGCACTGATGAGCCTCTTGCAATCAGAGCCATGGTCGACAGCTGCTTGGAACATTTTGGAACAACCGCTTATTGAACGTGAGACGAAAAATGAGGCGAGAATTCGGCGGGAGAAAAAAAAACTATTGGTACAAATCAGATATGTTCAGATTGGTTACTTGAGACAACCCCCGTAACCTCCTACAGCATCCCCACTCCTTTCTTTGCGTTTGAGGTGGTTCTGGCTGATGGCCTTTTGACGCAAAGCGCTTGGGCAGAGACGCCACCGGTGGGAGCCCTGCCAGGCGGGAACCTGGACGGGCAAGGTGTTGCAAAATGTTGTACATAAAGAGACTTGCAAGGGGAGAATGTGTGTCAGTGTGTTTTGTCTCTTGACCACCGGTGTAGCATGTTTGGCCGCGCTCAAAGGTAGCGTAGAGGTTAAGGAAGATGTGGCAAAACCAAAAGGATTCAAGAAGCTTTGTGATGTTGGACGAAACTCAGTCCACTGACAAGAACCTTATATAGTTGCGTGCATAAAACTGTTTATGATGTTGTTTTCACTTATTCTCAAGCGGCTTAAGCTTTGTCATGTGCATTTGGCATTCTATGGTCCACGGGCTGTATCACACGAGGCGGCGAGCTGAGCGATGTGGCCGTGCTGAACCGGGCCATGGCGCTGACAAAGGCCGTGGTGAGTTCACAGCGAGTTGGTCAGACCTGGGCCTACAACCGCAACTAATATGCGGTTGGGATGCGGCCGATTTGAGATGTTTGCAGTAGAACGAAGCAAAGGGGGTTGTCCTTGTCGAGGCCTTGGCTGTTTCAGGTTGCTTACCAGGTCAAGAGCATGACACCATGGGACACCAACCTCTAAACTTTTATGAAAATAAATATTGTTGCTATCTCTCCGTATCCAACTTCCAAAAGTAAGGTATAGAAACAGTAACAACCAGTCACAAAGGCCAAAACCCCTAGATCCATTGCCACTTTTACCATCCTCGCTTCCTTTGTTGTTCCTTGTTCTTTCCGCACGTCACGCTTTGTGGGCCAGGCCATCGCCAAGATGGGCGTCAAGGCACCGCTGTTGGTCTTCGCCACTTGGGGTGCCCAACCCTTGGCCTCCGAGGAGCTCCATGCACGACGCGCAGGTCCGAGACGGGGTGAACGCTTCGGAATGGCATGAGAGGTGGCGGTTCTTTTTCGGCTGGTGAGGTTGCGGTCGGATAAGAAGATGGACGGCGCTTGCCCGCATCGGCGTTCTCGAATAGTTACATATAGTTACTAACTCCTGGAAGTCCAATGTCAGCACACGATATGAATCGATATTAACCGATAGTTTCTGCCCGTTTTTTTGATGATTGATTGCCTTCCCTTAGATCCATGTTGATGGTTTCATCATCAAAGGCGCAAGTGTATATACTCAAGATGGCAGACCTGTTTTCCAGCCAAACTGTTCAGGGTAGCAACAATTGCAAAGGCTGAAGGAATCAGGTGCAGAGGGAACTTCCCTTTTTGTTGATGTATACAAATGGACTTGACTCGACAATCCAAACTAGTTGAATGAGGGCCGCGGGTTTTGTTGACCCCCATAAGACGATACAGAGAGTTGAAACACATCACCCACTATTATAACGAGTGTGACATTAACATTTCAGGTCCAGGAAAGCCTTGGGTGAAAAGGACAAAGGATCAAGAGCTTTGGTCAGTCAGTCAAAAACCCAAGACCGTTGGGTCAAACAAGCATCTTCAAATAACACCAGCATGATCCTCTTCTTGTGATTCTTTGACCCCAAGATAAAAATAGATGAATATCCAAGGCCAGAAAGGTCTCCCCAATTACCCAGTAGGTGACTTTAAAGAACCAAGTCATTGACCAACCTCTCCCACACCAATACAAACGCGAACCTCGCTTGTCGCTCAATGGTCAGGTCGTCCGGACCACAGCGGTTTGTGGGGCTTCGCGCGGGCAGTGCGGATGGAATACCCAGGCGATAGGGCGCAGGATGGGCTGATCTTCCAAATGGTCGACGGGAAAGTGAGGATGAACAAAAAAACACAAGGCGTTTTTGTATGTTTGGACTTGTTGATGGGACTTGTATTTCTGCTGCCCACAGCTGAAGGACATCCAGAGCGGCTTGGACCTCCTGACGCGAACTAAACCAAACAGTTTGTGCAGGCAGTTGTGTCTTGAACAAATATATATATATATATGTACTGTGTATATATATATATAGCAGGCCCCGAACAATAGAAACGATGTCCAACACATTTTATAAGAGGACGGGATGTAATTTAGTTTGGGGTTACGATACTGCTTGAAATGTTCTCTTCACCGACTGTTGCAAGCACCTTGGTGAAAAGCCTAAGTTCCCTACGTTCCGTGAAAGCGAACGTTGAAGCTGAGAATTGACTCCGTAGAGGAACCCTCCTCTTCGTCCCCCTCACTGAAGGCTGTGGATGTTGAAGACCTGGGTTCGAATTGGGAGACCCAGCCCAGGTCTTTGGTGGTTTTTGCTATAGCACCCGTGTCATTTATCAAAGCTTTGTGCATAAATATGTATAGCTGTAACCCTCGCTTGGGGTTTGTCGCTTGTGCCATGTGCCACACAATTGGAAGGTAGAATGGGGACGTGGGGCAAATCTAGATCGGCAAAACCTGTCAGCACCTTTGGGTCGTGACGGCAGCATTCGCTTTTATTTGTGGTGGCTCTCTCTCTCTATATATATATATATAGACACTGTATATTATACTACAATACTATATATCAATATAGAGAGAGAGAGAGAGAAAAATATCCCAAGTAGTGCAAGATGCAGTCCATCCTTTTGGGCCCTCAAGAAACCCAGTATATTATCAGTATATTCAACCAAGCTTTGAAACGAGCTGGGTGCCCAGCTGCCTAGCTGCACCTTGCTGAAAGACTAAACCCCAACAAATATCTAGCAAATTCAGGATTTCCTGATTTCGGAGGAGGGGGATGAGTCTTTCAAAAAGAACTCGATGATTGCTTTGCCTGGCTTTGCCCCATTTCAACCACCTTCCTGGCAGTGTTGAGGTGCACTTCGCTTGACCTGTGTCGACTTGGATGCGTCCAAGGACTCGAATCAGGCCGTTGTCCAACGATTCTGCAATTTCATATGCAAAAAATTGTTGTCATGTGTTTGGAAAGTCTTCCTTAGCTCATAGGCTTCTCGGTGTCCTGCCGGTGTCCCTAAACAGCCCGGGTCATTTGTGACGTGTTTCTTGCAGGAGGCCAGCGCTTGGACGCAGCTCAATGCGGCAGTGTCCTCCTTGGGCGACGAAGAGGAAGTGGCTTTGCGGGAAGAAGCGAAGTGTGCCAGGCCGTCGGGATGACTCGGATGCACTCCCGTGCGATCTACGCAAAAGAAAATCAGGAAGTGCACCTGGAGGAGACGTTCACGGTCCAAAGCGAGCAAAGGAGTCATATTCAAGCTACGATATATCTAATAGCCGGCTGAGCTGGTTCCGGGCCGCTGTTTCACCACTACATTATTCTTGGAGAGTTTTGTTTGAGGCATTCGTGGATGATCAGTAGACAATCTCAATGATCATTACATATAACCAGGACATGTGCAGTACTCTTGGGACTTATCCTGCAATCACCCAAAAAGTACGCAACCCATTACCTTGCCAGCAAGCCACTGTTCACCAGGTTGGCCACTGTCGCCCACTAAAGGAATGTGCCATGATGTGCCAGAATTGGACTACTCATCATGCACAAGAGAAAGACTTGCAGAATTGCCAGTGCCACCTTGCAGAATGAGGGACGGATGAAGGAATCACTTGACTAAGCTGAATTCCCCATGCAAAGCCCATCAGCAATTGTGCCAGCCTGATACTCAGCCATGGGCCTTTTCTTTTGCCCAGCTGCTGTAAAGGAAGCTGGAAGAACACTTTTCTGCACATGCTCGCTCTATTGGCCTGCAACATGACTGCCCCATGCTGCAGGTTCTAACTGCGGGGAACAAGTTACAATGTGATCGTTACCGTGCAGGATATTTGATCCTGTGATAACAATTGTTTTGAGTCGTGGATGCTCATTACAAGTCTTGCTCACTAAACTAAACAAACAGGTGCGGCGATTGAGCTTTACACATGTACAGATCGACTTGTACCCGGCATACACTCGGGATAGTTTGCAGCAAGCAATGTTAGGCTGTCCGGCCTGATATTCGGCTGTTCAAACTTGTGCCCATCAGTAAAGTTGTAAAGGAAGCCGGATGAGATGCCTGCTTGCCCTATTGACCCGTCATGCTAACTGCATTGCGGGTGAAGTCGCAAGTTGGTCAGGAGAGAGCAACCGTGAAATGTATCAAGGAGCTACGAAGGAGTTTCCCAACCACTTGCTAGTGTTTGTCATGTTCTTTCTGCCAGCTCCTCAAGCCATGCCGCGTACTTTCACTCTTTGCAGGATCAGGGTGTGATTTGGAGGGGAATGTGTTTGAAACCTGCTTGCCGGCCTGATACTCAGTCCCTGGCCCTTTCGTTGCTCAGTGGCTGTAAAGGAAGCTGGAAGAAAGTGTTGGAACTGCCCGCTCTATTGACTTGCGACAGTGTGACTGCCCCACTGCGCAGGTGCTAACAGCAAGCAACAGCACTATCATATGCTCGTACAATGTTCGGTGCGACCGCCCTTGTTGGGTGTTCGGTATCAAACCATAGTGGGATGTGTATGGGTCACCAACCACATATTACTTTATAAGAACTGCTGGGAAAGATCAATGTTTATGATTTATGACTATATATACTGTAGTATAGAAGACTGCAGACAGAGTCAAAATATGCGAGATCTTTCTGATCCGCCTCTATGCTTAGGTAGATGTCTTGAATGTGTGGGTTACATAGTTGAACTGGCCGACAGCGTTTGTTTGTAGATATCTTTTCCACTATGCCAAGACCAACGTCTCCTCGGGGGCTGGTCTTGCAGAGAGAGAGGGAGAGAGAGCGGGGGGAGAGAAGAACACAAAACGTATGTGGGCGGATACGTTTCAAAACACTTCTCCCTCCAATTGACTTTTTAGTGGCCAAGACCAACCGGCTGAGCAGGGAGGCTGTGAACAACTCAACAGAGCCTTCTTTATGCTTCAGCTGTGGTTGGAGTTTGGAACATCTGGAACCCCCCGACCGATTTTATTGCGCAGATTTGAAAGGTGAGATACGGGGTCCTGAATATTTCAGAACGACGCGGCATCAATAATATCAAAAAGTATGATGCAGCTTCATGTTTGCCTATTGTTTTTCCGCCCCGCAGATATTGTGCCTAAGGGCCTAGGCTTGTGCATTTGCGAGACGAATCTCCCATTTGCACCTTCCCTAACTCTTACAGAGACATACCATGGGACTGGGTATCGATATCGTCGGACCAACAAATAAGCGCGGAGGCAGACTGCTTCCTTTTTACCATCCATGTTTTCAGTCCTTTTTCTCAGTTCATTCGCCAAGTCCACCAACAGATCCCACATCCCCCTCTTTGTTACTCGGAGGCTGGCCCGCTCGGTGGTGAAGTACACTGGTGCCCTGCGGCTAAACATGCCCGCGCGCGGCTCACTGACTGGGCTGCGCTGCGTCCCCCAGGCAGATACCGCAAAGGGCTCGGCTGTGGCGCCGACTATGGCGCAGCTGAGAATCCGAGCGGTGGGCTTGAACTTCCGAGATGTGCTGAACGCCACTGAGTTGTGGATTTAGATCATATTTCATGGGTAGTTGGTGGCAGTGGACATTGAAGGAAGCGGGAGGAGCGTGTGGATGGGCTGTTTGTTGTTCAGCAATTTGGGAGAAGATGTTGAAAAAGAGTAAGATACTCAAAAAGTTTGCTCCTGCTTTGGCAGGTTGGACCTACGTCAGTATGAAGGGAATAATTTTGAACATTCACAGGCTTCTTGCTGGAGGAATGAAACTTGATACCTTCGTACTGACATCCTTTTGAAGTGCTGCTTATTATATCGTATATACATACTATGTATGATTTTTGGAGTTTGACCTGTGGGCAGATGGGCAATGGTACACCCAAAAGGAGCACGCCTTTCGATTGAAAGACAGATACCTGACCTGGAAGACTGCCCCCCCCAAGGGTACACTTGTAGAGTCCCCTTTCCAGCAGAAATGGTTGAAATGATGTTAAAAGTACAACAATTCCAAAATAGCTCCTGAAAAAAGACCTTGTCCACCCAGCCATCGGCTGTTCACCAGAAGATCAATGGTTTCAATTAGATTCGATCAATTAGCAGTTTGACAGTTTGTGTTTGTTTGTGATTTGCTTCACTCGATCTGGGGTCTAAGGTCATGGGCCTGTACCCCGGCGACCCCGGGCCGCCTGGTGCCGACTGCGGTGCCACCGTGCTGGGACTCGGGGAGAATGTGAAGCACCTGCGCTTGGCGGAGGATGTCTTTGGCGAGTCCCCGGGATGTACCTTGGTGTGGTGAAAGGATGTGAAAGGTGTAAAGAGTGGGGCATATCTGGTGCGAAGCTAAGCCAACTTCTTTTCTTTAGCTTCCCGGGAACTGAGCGAAAGGTTCTTTTGACGGATGTTTACGGTGTCGAATGGAAAGGCAAAGCCCTTGCACCTGAACCCGAAAGTGATTGAGGACCCGGCCGCCCTTTGCAGCAAGGAGATGTTGGATCGAAATTCAAGGGCATGGAGCATTCGTTTGCGAATGTTTGCTCGTGCAATGAAGTCCAGCTCCCAATCGACATTCTTTGTAGGTACGATTAATCATTGTTTTACCAAAACGTACCTTCGAACCTTTCTTCCGAGGCTGCGGCTTGCAGCCACCCAGAATTTTGGGGCAGACTTGAGTGCAAGAACCCGACCCTGAAGATGTTCCCACTGAGGAATCCTCTTCGATGATTCGATTCTTTGTGGTTTACGAATCGACGGCACTTCAAAGAGTATAGCCACAAGCGAAACAAACGAACCTCGGAACCATTCTTTTGGCAGCATCTCCCCCAAGGGTTGCTCTCCCCCAGGAATCAGGCTCCAACTTTAGCTACAAGTGCTTTGCAACCAACTACAGTTTAAGTCTACAGTAGGAAGCTGCTGTCTGGATATGGAGGTTTCCCAAATGTTCACTTCGCTCTCAAGATCAACCCACACGCTCTCGCTTCGACCCCAGCCTGTCAACATAAAAGGAGCTGGGACATCATATTCGTTCAAGTTTTGACCCACAAGAAGTTTTGCATAGGGGCCACTAGTGGGGCCACTCTGTCAAAGCAATGCACCAGGTTTGAGCACCTACAACACTAGCTCGGCGGCCTTGCTGACCCAAAAGCCCAGCTCCTGGAGCTACGAAGAGGCGCACGGACGGTGTTGCGGTGTCGGTGGTCAGGTTTTCGATAGACGGAACATGAAGGAAGTTGGAAGTAAGCGTGAAGTTGAACACCAACATGCAGGGTGCTTGCAGGTGGCCTCTAAGATCCATGGGCTCTTGGTGTAGGACCCTAAAAGCACACCGTGTTCGATTCTCAGAATATGCTGGTGGGACCATTGGAAGACTACGAGTCGCAGGGACATCTTCCATTGCCTGGCCAGTATCCAGGAGTGCTGTGCGTTGTTGGTTGTATGAGACCACAGGCCCAGTCTAAGCTTCAGGTAGCTAGACCCTCCAAACCCACCCCAAACATCCCCAAACACTTTCAACAGAAGTAATTAGTTGGATCTCAGGTTACTCGGGTTTGGCTTGGATGCTGTGATTCAATGGCCCATGTTGCCCAGGCCTGCTGCATGCCAGTGATCTTCGTGACTGTGGAAGAGGCGCCTGTTGGGTAGGTGGTTGGTTGGGTGTCAAGAAATTTGGGCATTTGCCAATGAATTGATTACAGTATGCTATGCCTCAACAAGAACTATCCTGGAATCCTCAGCACGGAACATCATCTGAAACCACTGGGCTTCTTATTTTGCAGGCCCGTCGATGTATGCTGCCTTAATGCGACCATTGTTCAACGTTAGACAAATCGAATAACTCATCGTCATCACCATTGTCGTTGGCGTCAGCGTTGGCGCCAGTGTCGGCATTGGCGTCGTTTGCGTCAGCGTCATCGCCATCGTCGTCATCATCAACAGCACCACTTTTGTGAGAAATTGGATGGATGATGGATCCAAGATGTGTTTATGCAAGCGTTTGCGCTGGTACCATTGGGGTTGCACTTTTAGAGATATTGGCAAAATGCAAAAGAATCAATAGTGTTTTGTGAGGCCGTGAGGCCTGTGGTATATCCCACTTAATGCGCTGCATAGGAACAAGTGCTGCATCGCCCCGTTTAACATAAATATTGTGGTCCTCCTTCTTCTGGTGGTACGGATCTCTTCCGCAGGGCTCCAACTCAGAAGGTACAACTTGGAACCCTAGACAAGGGCTTAGTTGACACATGTAGAACCCTTCCTCGCACATAATTAATGATGCATGTCTATCATTGATGCAGCAAAAGGCATACAAAACAGATCACACCTAAATAGGTGTCAAAATTCCTTCAGTTCAGTGAGAAGACTAGCTTCACCGTCCGATATGATGAGGCCTTGGGAGATCTGGCACAGTTGAAACGTGGGGAACGGGTGCTCATCCATGCTGCTGCTGGTGGCGTCGGCCTGGTGGCCATCCAGTGCTTTGGCCGCGGATCCGGAAAGACTTATCCCCGGTGGATGGAGCAAGCATGAACAAACAGAAAATTCCAACTGTTTGCAAAGTACAAGTTTGAGTAGAGCCCCTTTTCCAGAAAGCAAAAAGAAGATACCGACAAATCCAAATGACCAAGCGCCGTACAGGGCGAAAAGTGCGAATCACCACTGTCCGCCACTGTCCGCCCAAACAGAGGGTTCAGCAGCGGTCTTTTCCAGGTTTGACACTGTGCTGGTCGCGAGTTCCTTTCGAAAAGTGCTGAAACTACAGTTGGGCTTGGACGGTTTGTGTATTGCAGGCCGAAATAATCCCACCAAAAGGATCCACTAGTGGAAGGAGGATGCCCAAAAGTGGTCAATCATTGGTGGCGGAAGCCGCGAGTCGAGCAGTTTGGAAGGAGGAAATCCACCATTTGCAGGATGGCCTGCAGTAGCTAGCGAAGAAAGACGTTTGTCTTGAAACACATCTCCTTCAGTGGAATCATGAAAGATTGTAATCAAAAGGATATTCAGCTAACAACCCTTGCATTTTCCGAGTTTCGGGGCTGCAGTTGCCTTCTAGCATTCAGCCTTTCTTGAGGACATCCTTACAATCTCAAGTGCCCTGAGTCCAAGAAGTGCAGAATAATGATGAGGGTTGGTTCAGCAAAATTTCCAAACACTGGGTTACTACTGAGTTACTGTAATCAGATCTGATCAAGAGTCCGGGTGTGCTCTTTTCTTGTTCCCAGTGCGTGGGTAGCGTTCTGGCATCCTCAATAGTGCGTCCAGAGACACTTGGTCCCTGCTTCCCTGAGGTATGCCAAGTTCATTGGCGCAGAGGTCTATGCCACAGCAGGCGCTGAGGAGAAGCACGAGTTCTTGAGAAAGATGGGAGTCCTTTGGCAAAGCATACGACAAGAAAGATCCACCAGGTACAGTAACTTCCACAATGGTGACAAGACAAGACTGACAAGAGCCAGACCAACAGCTCCAAGAAGAACAGCAAAAGCTTGCACAGGCATAGGTGAGTCAAGTGCCTATAAAATACTCCTCCACACACACAATGTGCTGAGGCTGAGGGTTGTACTGTATATGAATTGTGCCCATATCATGAGTCATCGTATGTCAAATCCGGCATCGTGGGAGTCAACATGTTCATTCCCGGGTTCGTGGCAGAACAGTGCAGAGTACCGTTAGTAGGAAGCCTTGCCAAACCGACCAAAATAAGGCTTGTCGAGAGCATCCTTATTTCAGCTAAAGCTGCAAAACAAGAAGGCAAGACCAGATGTGTAGTCTCCACCTGTTTATTTTGATGGCCAGCGATCACCATCACCAGCTGATGTATCTAAGGTGAAGTACATTACGAGCAGCCGCAATGGCAACAAGTTTGAGGAGGACATGAAGAACTTCCTCAAGGAGATGCTACCAGCCATGGTTGAAAGCCTGGTGTTCGGAGTGCGGAAGCATGGTCGAAGACCTTGAATCTCTTCAAGGATGTGCATAAACAAATGTTGTCTCTGTATGGGACAAATCATACCATTCAATACATAGATCATCCCATATTCATTCACCGACACGAGACCATGGTTTGACCTGGTTTTCATCAGCGTTGAACAGGCACAGCTATGATGTTGTGGCCGAACTGGCTTCACAGACTCCCAGACTCCCAAGTAAGTCCCCAGATGCTTCCAGAAGTCTCAAAAACAATAAGGCCAGTCAGTGGCATTCTCAGGTTTGAGACTTTGAGAGAGAGCTCACTGAAAGCAGGAACTAAGAGCTCGATGAAGCCTCGATCCATGGAAACACCCCTCTTTTGCCATGTTTAAATGTTTAGGGTGGATATCCTCGGGGCAAAGGAGTCAAACGTGAAAGGCATGGAGGTTGAAGTAATTTTAAGGCTGTGGAGAATATGGTATAAGCTTCAGAGTCTGACAGTGTAGGAAGATTAAGATTGATAGACAAGCAGCAAGCAAGTTTGTCACCTCAACTACGACAGAAGCTGGTAAACAAAGTGTCTTTGCAACTATCAGGTGGTGCCAAGGTAGATTTTGAGAGCTGCCAGGAGCAGGGAGCAGATGGCCTTGATGTGGTGCTGAACAGTCTCAGTGCCTTGGCCACCTTGGAGGGCGACAGCGGCGACAGCGATGGTTTGGACTCCAATCACTACAGGTCCTATGTCATCCGAGCCTTGCATAATTTCTGTCACTAATGTCACGACTTGAAATATAAAGCACTACAGAACGGGCCAGCGGACTCCATCAATATCCTATATACAATTTATCACCGAACTAATGAATGACAACCGGAGATCCTATACCAGTGAACCTTCCAAACACTGTATACAAAGGGGTGTCAAAATCGTGTGCTTTACCACGCATCAATAATATTAGTCAAACATCTCATATGATGGGAAAAGAAGGGACAAATATAATCCAACATTTAGTCTTCCAGAAAAGGAAAAGTGGATTCTCATAAATTCTCTATACATTCAAATTAAGTTTAGAAAAATTGATCCACTTCACATGTTTATTTCATTCGCTAGTTTAAAAATGTCTAAAACTATCCCGGCAAGAGACCCCAAACAGTGTGTGTGTATGAGGTCCAGAGGTAGCAGCAGAAAGTCTAGAGATCTAGACGCATTGGGGTCCAGAGAGGTGATGGTCGTGATGAAGGAGGAGATCGTGGTGATGGGTGGGTGGGTGGGTGAGTGATTGAGCGAGTGAGTGAGCGAGGGAGTGAGTGAGTGAGTGAGGGAGTGAGCAAGTGCGTCGGGGAGTGGGTGGGTGAGTGAGTGAGTGAGTGAGTGGCTGGGTGAGTGAGTGGGTGAGAGTGAGTGAGAGTGAGTGTGAGCGTGAGCGTGTGTCAGTGAGAGTGAGTGTGAGCGCGAGTGAGATTGAGAGTGAGATTGCAAGTGAGATTGAGAGTGAGATTGCGAGTGAGATTGCTAGTGAGATTGAGAGTGGGATTGAAAGCGAGATTGGGAGTGAGATTGAGATTGAGACTGAGAGTGAGATCGAGAGAGTGAGAGTGAGAGGTGAGGGTAAACTGCTGCGCCTGCCACGAAATCTGCACTTGGAGGTTCACAAAGTGCTGCGCGCCATGAAATCTGCACTTCGAAGTTCACAAGTGCGGCGCCTGCGAAGAAATCCGCACTTCGAGGTCACAAAGTGCGGCGCCTGCCACGAAATCTATACACTTCGAGGTTCACAAAGTGCAGCGCCTGCCACGAACTCTGCACTTGGAGGCTCACAAAGTGCTGCGCCTGCTACGAAATCTACACTTCGAAGTTCACAAAGTGAGGCGCCTGCGACAAAATCCGCACTTCGAGGTTCACAAAGTGCTGCGCCTGCCACAAAATCTACACTTCGAGGTTCACAAAGTGCTGCGCCTGCCTCGAATTCTGCACTTGGATTGCCACGAAATCTACCCTTCGAGGTTCACAGACTGCTGTACCTGCCACGAAGTCTCCACTTGGAGGTTCACAAAATGCTGCGCGCTCCACGAAATCTGCACTTCGAAGTTCACAAAGCGCTGCGCCGGCCACGCAATCAGCACTTGGAGGTTCACAAGTCGCCGCGCCTCCAATGAAATCTGCACTTCAAGATTCACATGCAGCAGCCCTGACAAGGCGTTTCGCCGCAGAACGCTTCCAAAGACAACGTACAGATAATACCAAAACGCAGCTTTCGTGCGGGGCGTCCCTCGATTTCTGCAAACGAGCCACATGTCCAAAAGTCACGATTCACTGCACCTGTCACGAAATCAGAGCGCATCGAACATCACCACCATGTCCAAAGTGCTGTGCCTGCCACGAAACCTAATTTGGAAGTCACAAAGTCGACTTTGGACCACCAAAACAGGAGCTTTCCCTTGTGCCTGCCACGAACAGTGACCACCATGTCCGAAAATGCGCGCGGCGCGACAATGAGAGCGCAGTCACGACCAGCACCCACCGCGGCCAAGCAGATTTTGCGAGCCTGCGCAGCCGAAATGCACTTCCAAGGGTTTAGATGCATGAATGTATTGTAAATAGCGCAACCTTGATTAGACACCTGCACACCTACCGTAAGAAGTGTGTTCACACTGTTTGGGGAAAAATATCCCGGCAAGAGACCCCAAACAGTGTGCGTGAGGTCTACAGGTGTACCGGCAGAGAGTCTAGAGATCTAGATGCATTGGGGTCCAGAGAGTTGATAGTGATAGTGAGTGTGAGTGAGATTGAGAATGAGAGAGTGAGAGTGTGAGTAAGAGTGAGTGAGAGTGAGTGAAAGTGAGAGTGAGAGTGAAAGTGGTGAGTGAGAGTGTGAGTGAGAATGAAATTGAGGCTGAGAGTGAGGGTGAGAGTGGGAGTAAGAGTGAGTGAGAGAGAGAGAGAGTGTGGGGGTGAGTGTTCGTGAGAGAGTGAGAGTGTGAGTGAGAGTGATTGAGAGTGAGTGAGAGTGTGCGCGAGAGTGGGTGAAAGTGAGAGTGAAAGTGACAGAATGAGAGTGAGAGTGAATGAGAGAGTGTGAGAGAGAGAGTGTGAGAAAGAGAAAGAGACAGAGACAGAGACAGAGAGAGAGAGAGAGTGAGAGTGAGAGTGAGGGTGAGAGTGAGAGTGAGAGGGAGAGTGAGAGTGAGTGTTGCGAGAGAGTGCGTGTGAGTGAGCGTGAGTGAGAGTGAGTCAGAGTGAGTGAGAGTGAGAGCCAGCGGGTGAGAGTGCGAACGTGAGTCAGAGCGAGTGTGAGCGTGAGTGTGAGCGCGTGTGAGTGAGAGTGAGAGTGAAAGAGGCATCTCAAAGACTGCCACGAAATCTGCACCTCGAGGTTCACAAAGTGCTGCCAGCCATGAAATCTGCACTTCTGTCACGAAAAGTCGACTTTGGACCACCAAAATGCGAGCTTTCCCCTGTGCCTGCCACGAAAAGTGACCCCCATGTCTGAAAATGCGCGCGGTACTACAGCGAGAGCGCAGTCGCGACAACCCGCCGCACACACACACACAGATTTTGTGAGAGAGAGAGAGTGTGAGAAAGAGAGAGAGAGAGAGAGTGAGAGTGGGAGTGAGAGTGAGGTGAGAGAGTGTGTGAGAGAGTGTGTGAGTGTGAGCGAGCGGGAGGCGAGTCAGAGTGAGTGAGAGTGAGAGCCAGAGCGGGTGATAGTGTGAGCGTGCGTCAGAGTGAGCGTGAGCGCGTGTGAGTGTGAGTGAGAGCGAGGGTAAGAGTGAGAGAGAGCGAGCGAGAGTGAGAGTGAGCATCTCAAAGCCTGCCGCGAAATCTGCACTTCGAAGTTCACAAAGCGCGGCGCTTGCCACGAACTCTGCACTTGGAAGTTCACAAAGTACTGTGCCTGTCACGAAATCTGCACTTCAAGGTCCACAAAGTATTGCACCTGCCACGAAATCTGCAAACGAGCCACATGTCCACAAGTCGCGATTCACTGCACCTGTCACGAAATCAGAGCGCGTCGAAGATCACCACCATATTGCCCCTGTCACGAATAGCCAACTTTGGACTTTCAAAAAGCGAGCTTCAGCCACGAAAAGTGACCCCCATGTCCGAAAATGCGCGCGGTACCACAGCGAGAGCACAGTCGCGATAAGCGCCCGCCGCACACACCCAGATTTTGCAAGCCTGCGCAGTCGAAATGCACTTCGAGGATTTCGAGAGGCATGAATGCACTCTAAATAGTTGGCGCGACACCTCGAGTAGACACCGGTGCTTAACTATGACCGTAAGAACCCTAGTGTGTCCACACTGTTTGGGGAATGATTTCTGATCATAAAGGCTTAGGAATCTATTACTATATTTATTCTTTGGATTCATCTTTGGAATCTCCGGCATATTACACAATATGATTTTTTTAATAAGAATAGAGTTGTATTCTTCGGGAAACGGGATCATACCTTCAGAAGAACAGAACTTCTATCATGTAAGCCTTCCATTGCGTGGTTTGACTTGTGATTTTCTTTTTAGTCATGCCTGGCTTGTTTGGAGGACATGGAAATTCTATTGCACCGATCTGTCCAAGGTCTCCAGAAGTGGTATATGCTAGACTTGAGAAAGTTTGCTCCAACATGATATTGACGAGCCTATTGACAAAAATTATCCATCTTGATTCTGTTGGTTTCATGTCTTTTCCTAGTCCTTTCTTTCATCTCAGAATCAGGGCTTTGGGCTTTGCAACAATGGTCATGGTAAATAACAAGGTGCCTTGTAGACACGCAAAATTAAAAGATAAATATATATATATGTATATACATACTATATATATATATATACGGACACCCGATCGAAACGAAGTCCCGTGTTGTGACGGCCGTCGTAACAAATTTGTACAAAACCTTTGGGATATGGTTCCCATGGTTCTCAACTGTTCTCTAAACATGTTAAAGCACTTCCAAACTGCTCAAAAACACGAAGACGCTATTCCATTCAGTTTGTACACAAACATGTAAGTCATGTAAGCCTCAAAGGCTACAAATTAGACATTAAGTTCACACGCAGTCAAAACATGGCGTGGAGGCTTCGCTCTCCACATTCCAGTGAAAAGCCAAAAAGACTGTCCAAGCATGTGGGCGGTTAAGTCGGAGGGTGGACAACCGACCCTGATGCCTAGGGCAGCAAAGCCGGAAAGAGTGAAAATAGTCAGTCGCAGATCCACAGAGACTTGCAATGCTCTTCAATTCCAGATGGTTGGCGCACATGGTGGGTGAGGCATACAGTTGACAACCGGGTTTGCGCGGAAGCCTGAAAGTGCGATTTGCCCTTGTGCAGTGCATGGGGAAACCGACAATGGCACCCTAGGGCAGCAGAGTCGGTGGGAGTGAAAGTTGGTCAATGCAGTGGCTTCCAAAGTGAGCAGGTGAGTCATGCCTCTGAGCCAGATTTAACATGTTTGGTCAAAATTCCCATGGGTCCACAGCAAACAGCCCTTGTCAAGATGGCGGATGAACGGGGGATTCCTTAAAAAGTGGAAATGGGACTCGAGTCCAAGCTAACAACAGCAAAAACAACAACAGCAAACCCAAGAATCCATTCTACATTAAATGAATCATATATGTTTTAATTTATACTATTCATTCTGTTTTGATGACCCCTTGGACCCTGTCCAGCTACCTTTCCCCAATTGCTCCACCCAGGCCACGACGACTACATCGGCCGCTCCTTGGCGTTGCTGAAGCCTGGTGGTCGCTTCGTGGAGATTGGCAAGCGAGGCATTTGGAGCCACAAGCAGCTCCCTGGCCGCAGAGCGGCGATCGGGATGTATGTTTCGTGTTTGTATTTTCCAGGATGAGCCTGCTGAAGGTGAGATGGGTTAAAACATCCTTTCGCCACTTCAGGATCCCAACCAGCGAGCCTTACTTTCCAATGGGTTACTTTGGGACCCACATGGCTTGGATCACAGGGCATGGGGATTTGGTGAAGAGTTCGGATCGGGTGGTAAAAATGCGCACCACCAGAGCTCGTGTCCATTTGTGCACTGCACTGGATTCAGGGGCCAGAGCTGCTGCCATTCATTCAAGGTCTTCAGCTCAAGAGCCAACGTGCGAGCGCAGAGTTTTCTGTCAGAAAGTAGGTCGACTGAAGACTAGATGCCCTTTCCAAGCGTAGAATGAGTAAGTGAAAATCATCAAATCATAAACGTGACTGGTACATGCTTTTGACCCTGAGAGAATGGTGGGAAACCAAGAGCTGCGCAGTTTTTCAACATCGACCCGGGTCGACCGAGGATGTTTGAAGCACGTGCCTCGCCAAAAAGCAGCCTCGTCCTGCCAGAGAAGGGAGAGGTGTCTAGAAGTTTCTAGATGCTATGTCTTTGGAAATGGTGGTTGTTAGCCACCACGGTGCTAACTGGTTTTGCTGGGAATTAAGTTTACGAGCAACATGCCCACACAGCTATGATAAGTTGTTGCGCTGCACTGACAGCTAGGCGACACCCTGTATCATTGTGTGATGGTTTGGCGCAATGACTGCAAGATGCTCCAAGACTTCAAGGGTATTTTTGTTCAGTTAGAATAACGAAGCAAGTACTTTGCAATCATCCAAGCCAACGCAACAATCACCTTTGAGAGAGCGAATATTCAAACTTCTCCTTTGAAACCACGATTGAGAGAAAGATTGCAAGGAAAGGATGTGTTTCTTTAATGTTTAAATGAGAAAACAAGTGTGTTGTGTACGAGATACTCCACAGTCTCCTGTAGAGCTTGATACAAAAGATGAAAGATGCCTTTGATTGCTTCATGAGGTCCAGATGTGATGTACGAGAAGATCGCTGCAGACACCATGATGGAGAAGGACGGAAATTGATACAGGTGGTTAGGAGACATATATATAATATAATATAACATTATATAACCATCATGAACGGGGAGATCCATGAAGCCAGTTATATAGAGACATTTGAAGAAGGACCTAAATTTCATATGTTGCATACTGGAGCATGTGTTGGCACAGGAGCCTTGGCGCTACAACGCATACTTGAAGCGCTTGCTGCAACGTGTGGATGAGGGTGCTTTGCAACCGATCAACATGCAACTCAACTCGGCAGGCAGAGGTCATCTGTCGGATGGCCCGTAGACTCCTAGATGGACAAGGAACAGATCCCGAATTCCTGGAGGAAAGTCGCTTGCAGTTCACCGACCTTATTGTTTGTGGGACACCACAAATGACATAGCATTCGAACAGCAGAGGTTTTTGCTTCCTATTGCCTGCCAGCCATTCTCTTCATGTTGTTTGATTTTGTGGGCTAATATGAGGTGACCTGACCCACAGCTGCATAGGTGCAGGTCACGACAAAGTGGGGGATTAATTAGGGAGCTTCTCCTTTCTATTCCCCCTTGTGGAGCGTGTTCAATTTGCTGTTTTTCCTTTACGCCTCCAAGGGCCTCACTCACCCATGCATTTACTCTATCACCTTGTCACATCCCCAAAGAGGTGCTTTGCAGCAACGAGGGAGGCCCCAAAAGGGCCACACACTGGGAGCTCTCCAGTGACCAAATGGCCAATTGGCAATAAATCTAGCCTATATAATATAATATAATATATATATATGTACACAGTACACTATTGTCGGATCTCAGCGTTGCTTGGAGCTTCCACTTCAGCACTTCAACATTCTTCGATTGCGCTCTTTGAGGCACACCTTCGAGGGCCTCGAGAAGGGCGTCCAGGCGCTGCAGTTCTTACAGCGCGCCTCGAACATCGGCAAGGTGGTCATCAGCTCAGCCAGTCGTGGCTCGACAGCTTAGCGAAGAAGTGACCTGTGCCGACCAAAAAGCATGGCGTGATGAAGAAACCAGACGAAGAGCTGCCGGCTGACAAGCCTATCGATCCTATGGCTTGCAGGGATTACCTTTGCGCTGAAGCATTCTGAAACTAAACCATGGGAAGCAGATTATATAGTGATTAGTCCAGAAGTCCAGATGCTTATGGCCTCTTGTTAGAGGACAACCTGACAACATGGGCCTTTCACCACTTGCTCATGGAAAGAGAAGTCACCCGGACCTTGAATGTACGTGTGTTGTAACATCTCGTCCTGTAGAATTTAAGAAGACAGATTCGTGGAACATCTCAGACATTTGACCATATCCTCTTTGGTTTCTTGATTTCCCTATAATTAGTCTAGATTCTAGATTCTAGACGCTTGTCTGAATGATAAGACTTGACAAGCTCATCATGTCACCAGCACACCATTTCAGTGGGTCCCACTAGCCCCGGCTCAGAGCACCTTGAAGCACCATGAAGCACCGAGGCTTAGGCTGTGATGCCTTCAGCATGCCGCTGCTCTCGGGTGGCTTGGGCGCCTTGGGCGTGGTCACGGCCACCTTTTTGGTGGAGGAGCCATGGAGATAAACCTGGGTGGTAGGCCTTTCGAAGCTTGCTGGACAGGGCTGTGATGGGTGCAGCCTGTTCGAGGATGCCAGTTGTGGATTCCGTCCACAGCTGCAAAGTTGCAGCCAACGTGAGGACCACATATCTAAGGAATTGTGGGCAAGAGAAGTAATATTCTCATTTTTGGAGCAGCCTAGTTGTTGTTTTCTGATGGTTTATAACATGGTAGGATGTTTCTTCGTGCTACGTCTACGTATCAAACATAGCTGGCATGCTTGTCAATGCTTGCTTCTCCAGGTGTGTGTGTGTGTGTGTTTGTGTCTATCTGAAAGGTGCTTGTTCGCCAGCCTTGAAAGCCCAGTGGCCAGTCAACATCTACAAGCACCAACACCAGTAGTTGGAAAACCCAAAGGAGCTGCCCGAAAGAGGAAAGTTTGTCGGGGGAAGATTTCCCAGGAGTTCCCCTTGAGTACTGTATCTGTAACTAGTTCCAATCTTGCAGCTTCCTACATTGCCGCGTCCTGAATTTCTTGACCCTCGCGTCAAGCATCTTCCAGGAAGGAGCCAAGCATCTTTGTTTGCTGTCGCGAAGTGGGCAGCCCGCAAAGGACTGGACCTCAGCCCGTCTCGCGGACGAGCTATATAGACCAGCATGTTTGAGGAACTCAATTTGTCATGTTTTGTCACTTGACCCAAGGATAAGTTTGTATGACAGATGTTGAGGTATATTTGCTTCAACAGATTGGACTGTTTTCCTTGCACATCCACTTCTTCAGTCCAAACCAGCAGGTTCTTCACCTGGTGAAACATTGCCAGACAACTGCTCCAGACGCGACATGCCACACGAGTGCTGGGCGTTCAGAGGATGTGGGTCCTCAGTGGTCTTGGCTCCAGAAATGTGCCATCGAGCTCAAGGTGGAGAAGTGCGATGTGGGCACCTTCGCTGCCTTTGCTGGCATAATTACGTGTGGAAGGTGGATGGAAGACATCTCGGAGAGATTCATGTAACTACATATATATATATATATATAGAGAGTTTTATCATGTACTGGAAGTGGAAGCAGTCAAGAAGAGGGTATACACACAGACAGCTTCGGTGTGACCGTTAAATGGAAGATAGTGCATGCAATTATTGATTGACTAGAAGCAGTCAGGAAGAGGGTGCCACAGAGAGCTAGTTGCATAGAGAAAGGACATTGCATGCAATCATTGATCAAAAAGCAGTTAAGTGGGAGATAGTGCACAAATGGAAGCATCCGAGTCCCATGGATGAAATCCTGTTCATCCAAATGGAACATGCAGTGCAGCTGTTTAGCTATGGGGCCTTTCATCGGCCCGACCAAGGAGTGGAGGACTCCGTGGTGGCTCTCCGAGATTCTTTGAAGAAGGGAGGAGCCAACTTTGGGGAGTGCTGTTTTGTGCAGCAAGCTTTGTGGCTGGGAAGGGGTCCAATCCTAAGTTTCTCAAGGAGAACATTGGAGGGACTCAGTTCTTGCTGTGCAGCAGAGTGCAACGATATTCAGTCTACTAAACTTATCGCTATTGCAAACCAGTAATCTTCCCCCTGCGTTGTTCCACTCACCTCCCTGGGTCCCAGTTCCAGCGAGGGTCCCAAAACGGCTGGAACTGTGGGCACCAGGAGTTCAGTTGGGTGCCTTGATGCACCTCGCGGGCGTCTTGGCGGATGGCGTTTTGCCGAGCCTGACCTTGGAGAGTTTGGAGAAGTCCTACGCGCCCAAGGCGACAGGAGATGGGTGAACGTAAGGGTGGAAAAGGGATGTCTAGAGTGTAGAGAGGCATTCTTTGGATGGAGGAGTTGGGTCGGTGGGATGTGAATGCTTGTTTTAACATGGTTTAACTGATGTAGGGTCAGGGTCTGACTTATTTTTGGAATGTTGGGGGAGGTAGATACGAGATGATGATCTTATGTTTCAATGTGAATGTTTGATCTCAAGTCTCTCGAGGGATAGGGGTAGGTTCGACTGTTCATGGTTCGTGGCAGCGAATTTGATCTTCGAGTTGGGTGGCGTGCCTGAACGTGCTGGAGAAGCTGAAGGTTGAGGCAGAGCGCTTGGGCACAGGCTCTTTCGCCTTTGCTTTTTTGTTTTCTTGCTGGTTTGAGAGTTCGGGAATGAGCAGAATATCAAGACCTAAAGAAGGAGATCAAGTTTTTCTCAAACTAGATGAATATTCGCCTTCATGGCGGCAGGCCCTGGTGATACACTGCAGCTCACGAAACCATGTGATCCTTGTAGTGAGAGTGACGAACCCAGAGATAGAAGAAAGAACAGACGAAGTAAGTTTTTTCGAGGCCAAGGGGCAGAAGTTCATTTTAGTCGAGGGAGGAAAAGAGCAGCTGCGACCCACTTGTGCTCATGCACACCGAGCTTTGGAAGTCAGCCCCAGCTTCTTGTTGGAGAAGGGGAAGGAACTTCTGACCAAAGACGAACTTTTGTACGTCACTACTTCGGAAGACCTGCCAGTAGAGAAGACCAAGAGAGAACAAACCCAGAAAGAGGAGATTTCGTCGTCGGACGACTTGGGAGCTTCGGACAGCGAAGGAGAGGATGCCGTCATGAACCTGCTGTTGAAAGCTCAAGGCAGCAGGCCAGAAAAGGCTACCAGTTCCGTGTCAAAGAGAAAAGACAGCGAGTCCAAGACGGTGAGGTACCCGCTCCTAGAAGGGCAAAAGAACCAGAAAAGCGCTTCAGCCGTTGGGTTCGACAAGCTGGTGGAGCGACTCGTTTCTGCCGAGGGCCAGGAGCCAGCAGAGACCAACCTCAACACGCTCCTGAGCTTAGAAGTTCTCAAGTCCTTGAAGGACAAGAAGTCGAAGAGGAGGATGTCAAGCACCGAGCGGTCCAGCGAAAGCGATACAAGCTCGTCGGACTCAGACGACCCGAGGCCGAGAGGCGCCGGGAAGGCACTCAGAGATTTCCGACAAGTGCATCACAAGATGAAGAAGAGACCTTTGAAGCATGTGAAAAAATATGTCAAAGAAGTAGAGGAGAATCTGGGGGTCACCAAACACACCCCCTACAGCCTTTCGGATTACAGCAAGTCCTTGAACTGGGGAAAGAACAAGACACTGATGTGAGTGCACTACGCCGTGTCAAAACTGCTACAGAGTCAGCTCAGTGGAAAGCACGAAAGGGCCAGCCTGCAGGCAGTTCAGTTGCTACGCGCTTTGCACCAAGTCTCTCTGGATCAGGGATCGTGGAAAACCGGAAGCCTGTTGATGTCGCACGCAGACCCTCTCGAACGTCCCAAGTTCGGAGGGGAGCCAGACCAGTTAGAAAAGATTGCCTCTTACGTGAAAGCCATGACAGAGCTAGAAAAGAGGAGCCTTCACGGTGGAGGGCAAGAGGACGACAGCCAAGAGAAGAAAGGCCGAGGAAAAGGCAAGAATCGCAGCAAGACCGGGGTGCACGACGAGATCAGCAAAGGGTGTGAGCAGAGTTAATGCACCGAACGCAGAGGGCATCGATGTGCGCTCACTGTTAGGACTAATTAGCAAACAGCATGGTTCTTTTTCGAGATTCATGCGAATCTACAATAGGTCTCGAAACGAGGCGAAGGGACGAACGCCCCACCCAGCTGGGGAGGACACAGTCACATTGTTCCCGTCAATGCTCCCATGGGATAAGCCTCCAGGTAAGTCTAGGAGTAGGAGACGAGGCCCACGTTCAAACGCCAGACGTGCGGCTTTAGAGTGGATGCACACTGCTTGGGGGTTCTTCAACTTTCTAGAGGGGGGTTCGCCCTGCCGTGCATTTGCAGCCCAGTCGGTCGTGGACAGAGCCTGTCAAGGGGTGTGGACTGCCACGCATGAGACTTATGCCAGAGCAATGTTTTCCAATGTGCTTAGATACTTGAACCATCCTAGGGGGACCTTGGAGCGGGGCACGTCTAAGCTTGATGCATTAATTAGTAGAATTAGTTTAAGCATGTATGACCCCACCATTAGTTTTGATGATGCAATTTCAGGGGCGCTCACAGTAAACCCTGATAGGATATCGCTACCTGAGCAAGCCGCCATTCTTGACACTTGAAGGGGGAGAGACTGCAGGAGTTCACCACCATGTGCAAGTGGGTACCGGTTGAGCCTGAGGTTTGGAGACCCCAAGCCTTGCCACAAAGTAGATCCCCAAAATTGGGCTCCTCTGCTCAAAAAGTTGTATGATGCCAGTATGATCGAGTTCATACCCGTTGAAGAGGCTGTGCATGTTGGGCGCAAAGTCATAAAAGGGGGCCTTTTCTGTGTGGGCCACAAGCCGACTTCAGACCGACTGATCAACGACCGCCGCCCATTGAACATCCGCGAGCGTCGTTTGAACTGGTGCTCTCTGCCGGCAGGACCCATGTTAGGCCAGCTGATCCTGAGAAATGACCAAAGTATCAGGTGTTCGGGGGATGACCTGTCCAACTATTTTTACCTCATCAAGCATTTGGATTCGTGGTTGCGCAGAAATTGCTTTGGAGACCCCATCAAGGGATCAGAACTGCCGGGGCTTGGTTTGGATAGTCGTAAACGGTACCTGCCAGCTTTCCGAGTGGTTTGCATGGGCGACACCAACGGTGTCGACATTGCACAGGCCACGCATGAAGCGGTCTTGCAAGAAGTCGGATGCCTGCGAGAACACCAGACCCTGGTATATGGTAGGATTTTTCCCGCTTCAAACACATTAGAGGGACTTTACATTGATGATCACCTTGTGTTCCAGGTGTGCGATAAAAAGGTAGATAGGGACCGACCGACTGCTGAGGACGAACAATTAATTGCGCAGTCACGCTCGCAATACAAGAAATTAGGGCTCCCAGTTTCAGCAAAGAAAGCGCTAAACAAGGAGTATTCTTTCAAAGCATGGGGAACCGCTGTGTGCTCGCAGTCAGGGCGTGTTGGGGCGCCCTATGAGAAGCTTCGCCAAATCGAACACCTGGCATGTAGATTGTTGTTGGAAGGCAGGGCATCCAAGAAGGCTCTACAAAAGCTAATAGGGCTTTTCGTTCATCCCTTCATGCATCGTAGGGAGTGTCCGTATTTCACCATGTGTATATCTTCATTGAGAACATGTGTGAGAAAGGTATTTCGAGGCTCCCACACTTTGTACGAGATGAAATAGCATGCGCAGCACTTTTGTTGCCCTTTGCCCACACAAACATTCGCAAGCCAGTGTCCGTGCAGATATCAGCGACAGATGCCAGCAGTAAGGGGGGAGGACGAGCTTTAGCCATCACTTCTCCAAGCTTTGCAAAAGCTTTGTTTCGGTTCGCTGAAGTAAAAGGGGAACATGTAAAACTAGACTGGGTTAAGCATGGCATCGAGCCCCCATCTTCAATGTGTCGAGCTCCGACTCCTCTAGTAGATGCTCTCCAGAAACACTGCTGGGTGGCATCGCAGGCAATCAAGTTTGATAGAGCAGATCACATCAACATCCTAGAAATGGAAATGTTGAAGCAAGAACTAAAAGACAGGGCCAACTCAGGTAGAGGTAACGCCCGGGTGGTTAATCTTTGTGATTCAAGGGTTGTTGTAGGATCGTTTGGCAAGGGACGATCAAGCAGTAGGAACCTGAACCACAAGTTGCGTAGCTGCGTGCCTTGGCTCCTTGCCAGTGACCAGCTGCAAGCCGAGGGAAAAGCATACCGCCCCCAAGTAAAAGTAGCGAGGACCCCCTTCTGGATCTTCAGACTTTGAATGCTGTGCAGCAATATCGCTCAATTGGTTTTTGAAAGGGAAGCTAGGGTGGCTGGCGTAGACCCATTTGGCAGCCAGTCCGGTCCCATGTCCAACCCTTCGACACCCCACTCAAACCGGCTGCAAGAAACCCTTCGAAGCCCGCAGCCCCACAGCACTGAAAGTAACAACAGGTCCAGATGCAGGTCCGTTTTGATGGCAAATCAGGAGAGCCGTCCAGCAGATGTCGCCAGACCCGTTTTCCGCGAGATTTTTGCGAGAAAAATGCGGCTCACGGAGGCGGCGACGCAAGGTGGCGCCTTCACTGCAGGCGAACCTGTCGGCAACAAGAAAGACAAAGAACAAGGAGTTTCAGTGAACCTTTTTAACTCGAAGACCTTTTCAAAACTCAAAGGTGAAGCAGCCAGAGCAAATCAGGTGTGGCACTTTGCAATGCCTGGTTCGTCCTTTTCGGTTTTGCAGCATTCAAATGGGGGCACGAGGCGTGCCAGCAAACCACAGGGAAACCATGCCTTGCCCAGAGAAATTGAAGGTAACCTTTTGTTGGATCGTGTCATGACCCTCATTAGAATTCTAGAGGCAGCGGGTAGTAAATGGACTCTTGAAAACCCCCTTACTTCTTACCTGTGGAAGATGCCATCCATAGAAAAGAAAATGCGCGAGCAACGTTGCCATGAAGTTCATTTACACCAGTGTAGTTATGGACTCATGCTCCGGGACAGCCAAGGACGCTAAGGGCCCTGTAAGAAACCCACAAGGATTATAGGAAATCTCCACACACTGAAAGATTTAGCACAGTCATGCACGTGTAAGAAGCAGCATGTGCATGCTGTTGGTGGAGTTCGGACGCCAAGTGGCTGGAGACGCCGTTCTGATTTGGCGGGGCATTACCCCCTGCAGTTGCGCCGCCGATACGCCAGCGCAGCAAACCAGGCATTTTGGACTTAACGTAATGGTGGTTGTCCCATTCAGTTTTTTGCAGTTTTTTAAAAGTAAAGGTACAGATGTTGTAAAGCTTTAAACAGAGATTGGAGCAGTCAGAGAAATGAAAGCTGAGCTTCTTATGTCGGCTAGCCATGGGTCAAACCGTACTGCGGGATTGCTTTTTCGTTTCAGTCGCTTCTCAAGACCATATCGCGAGCGGCTGCTGACTGGATTGCGTGACCTCTACGCGTATTGTCTTGAATCAGCCGGGTGCAGCTTTGGGAGGCTTGCTCACACACCAAGGCTTGCAGACCGCGTCCTGAGTGAGTATGTGTTGAGCAGGCATGCGTCTCAGGTAAAGCTGACATTGGTGAAACATGCGCTCTTGGGGGCGCAGCACGCCTTCCCTGGGTTGAAAGGGAAGCTCAGCACCGCCTGGGAACACGTTCGGGTGTGGGAGGAGCAGCGAATTGTCAGATTACGGCAACCACTTCCCATACCAATTTGGCTTTGCATGGTTGGACTTGCCCGTGCCCATGCCAAAGTAGAGGCAGACACGGTGAGCAGATATGACTGGGAAGTGTTCAGTGTTTTACTGGAAATCGGCCTCTTCTGCATGCTTCGCCCCGGTGAACTGTTGAGGATCCATCACTCGGATGTGTCGCTGCCAGGCTCCTTCATAATGTGTGAACACCACGCGGCCATTCGTATTGTTTCTCCCAAAAACAGACGCCAGTTTGGAGAGAACCAGCTTGTTTTGGTTAAGCACGAAAACTGCATAGCTTGGCTTGCAAAAATTGTGCGCGACGGTGAGAATCAACCCCTTTGGCACGGTGGGGCGCGGCTTTTTTCGCATTTTTCAAAACACTGGTCAACGAACTTGGTTTGCGAGATTGCCGATTTACTCCGGCATGTCTCCGCCCAGGTGGAGCCACCATGTACTTTAATGCAGGAATCAGTATTCCCACTCTGAGATTTATGGGCCGATGGTCAGTTGAAAGATCACTAGAGCACTACATCCAACTAGCTGTTGCCTCACAGGTCATGAACAAGCTTTCGCCGAAAGTTGCGCAGCGGCTCAAGCGTTTGGCTCCCTTTTGTTTGTGCCAAGTGCCTGTTGCCCTCGTAGGCTTCGATCTCCCTGACCCACGTGTGTACGTGGGTTGCCACAGACGTGAGCTCCTGACGTGGTGTTTAGAGTACACGCGTCTGCAGGGGCAATGCAAGGTCTAGTTGACCAGCACGGCAGCAAAGTTGCGCAAGGTGGCGCCTTGGCCGGCTCACCTTTCCGCCAGCTTTCTGAAGAACAGCTGCGCAAAGCGGCAAAACGCTATCCCTCTGATCCTAGGTTGCAGAAGTTTGCCAAGGCCAAGATAGCCATGATGGACCTGGAGCCTAGCCAAGATCCTTTACCATGTGCGCCGCTAAGGCTTCCTGCAGTCCAGCCTCAGGTTGAACAACCAGGTGTCAATCGATTTAGCTGCCGCTTTGTCGTCAAATGGTTGCTGTACCTTTTGACCAAGAGTTGCTGGCGGTATGTGCTCTGGGTTTTGGTGTTCGCCCTGCTGCTCAAGCCAGCGGTGACCTCTGTGCTGGCAAAGTATGCAGTCAGACTATTTAGAACTTTCTTGCGACAACTCCTCAGTTTTTTGGCTGATAAGGATGCCAGAATTTCGTAAGATGTCGAAGCCATCTTTCACA